TGCAATTTGCATCTCTCTCGTTCATTGCATCGACACATATTATATACTGTTTCTTTTTTTAAAGGACAGAAAGGGCTTTAATTTGATGATATATATGTTACATCAAATTAAAGCCCTTTGTGTCCTTTAAAAAAAAAAAACAGTATATAATATGTGTCGGTGCAATGAACGAGAGAGATGCAAATTGCAGTTTAACGCAAACAGCAAGAAAATAAATAAGTGTGTGTGTGTGTGTGTATGTGTGTGTGTGTATATATATATATATATATATATATACTTATTATTAAAAAAATACAGAAAAATGCAAAAAAAAAAAGAAACATTTTGTGTTTTTTCTACAGTTTTTGCAATAATAATGTGTGCCTAATTAGTGCAGGTTAAGGAAAGTAATTCAAAATAAATTCATTTAGTTGTTCTGATTTACAGAATATATAATGTGTCTGGGATTTTAAGTTTTTTTTGGTAGTTACAGGTCACAAAGCACAAGTAGTAATATAAACTCTTAATGTGGAGCGATTTTAGAATTTGGTATGTTTGTCTTGTAAGCTTAATGGCCATAAAATAAAACAAAATTGCCATACAAAAGTATATATTTATATAAAGTAGACATCACAGGCTATTTACCTAGGGTTGTTTTGACACTTTCTACGTAGCCATTTCACCGCCAACCTCTGCAAAATATTGGAGTAAAATTGTGGGGTTTTTTGGCTTTTGGCACACCAACCTATAACAGAAATTCTCATGAGTGTTTTGTAAAGTTGGTGTGTGCTATTCCTGTACAAAGTTTTATTTTGTGTTCAGTTACTTATGCTGAGTACAACAATACCTCCATTGTATGTCTTTGGCACTATTTCGTGAAGCTACAGTGCCATATTGGAGACCTATCCGTTTCAACATTTACAGTAGAATTTTAAGAGGCAGATTTAATGGGCCTATGCTTCAATTTGGGGTATTATAGCAGTTTGACTGTTCAAAAAAAAACCACAAAGGCCTACCATTTGTAAAAGTAGACACTCCAGGGTATCTCATATGGTGCATATTGTGCCTTAACATGCCCCCATTTATTCACCAATATATGCCAAAGTATGTGGTAAAAAATTATTTGGGGCATTTTTTACATACAGATTACATTTTTGCTGGGCAATTTGTACATTTCATATGTGCCACTAAGTTCAAACCCCCAAATATGCTCAGCTAAGTCTTCTGAGTAAAACAATATGCTCAATGTATGACCTAGACACTATTTGGTGAAGTTACACTGCTGTAAAAGAGAGGTGACAAGTTAAGATTTTTAAGTGTGAATTTTCATGGAGGCTTTTGATGCGTCCTTGTCCCACTTTGGAGCACTTGAGCAGGCTACATATTACAACTACACCATAAAGGCGTACCATTTCTTAAAGAACACATCCCAGGGTATTTCAAAATGCATATTTTGAACCTTAGCGTGGGATAATTTTTCCACTAGCTTGTACCAAGTATAATGGTAATAAGCGTTTTTTTGCCTTTTTGACACACAAAGTGAGTTTGCACAGTATATTTTGCAAATCGTATGTGTGCTACAACTGGATAATACTTCATATGTTGCTCAGCTTTGTCGGCTGAGTACAGCAATACCCCCGTATGTACCTTTGCCTTGTATATGTGGACATCGGAGGGGCATATTTGGGACACAGCCATTCCAGTTCTTTTCAAACTTTAAATTTTTACACTGTGCTCATGTCCCATTTTAGAGTATTTTACCAGGCTATATAATCCAAATACCCCATAAAGCCATACCATTTCTTAAAGAAGACATCCCAGGGTATTTCAAAAGGCCTATTTTGAACATTAGCGTGGGATCATTTTTCCGCTAGCTTGTACCAAGTGTAGTGGTAATGAGCATTTTTCAATGTATTTTTTTTACTTTGTAAAACCCATTTTTAAACTTTTTTTTTTTTTACTTATTAAATGTTTTACACTTTCTTCTACACTTTTTTTCTAAACTTTTCTTTTACCGTTAACCCCTAACTAGCAGTAAGCAGCACTAACAGTAAATTTTCCCCTTTTCCATAACTCCCACCCACTCAGCTAGCAATATATATATATATATATATAATATAATATATATATATATATATATATATATATATATATATATATATAAAATATTTAAATTAATTATTTAAATAAATTGAACCCCTGAGGGTTAAAAAATAAATAAAAGTTAATCTTCAGTTGTTAAAATAAATTAGATTACAGTATAATAGTGTGATCTGTATTTTGATCACTGTAGGCAGTGATCAACTGGCAGGGAAGGGGTTAATTTTTATTTAGACTGGGCAAGGGGGGTGGTATTTTTTTATTTATTTTTTTACTTAAATGTTACTAAAGCATTTTATTAAAAAAAACAAAAAACTTTTTTTTACCTTTTTAAAGCTTATTTTAAAACTTTTTTAACGTTAACCCCTAGTTAGCCTAACACCAAATTCCCCAATTCCCCACTAACTTCCACCCATCCCAGCTAGCTAAATATCTAATTTTTAAGTATTTAATGAAATAAATTTAAACCCTGAGGTTTTTTTTTTTTTAACCCTCAGGGGTGAAAAAAAATCAGATGACATTAAAATGTATACCATGTCAATTGATCACTGTAGTCAGTGATCAATTGGCAGGGAAGGGGTTAATTTTATTAAAGCAGGGAGAAGAGGATCCGCTCTGATCTGTCTCCCTGCACTACACACAGAACAGGAAGTGGAGGGAGGCGGAAGGTAAGTATATAGAGCACATGTGCTCGCTCTGACAGCCTGTCAGAGCAAGCACCGGTGCTGGGGCAGCGTGATCCGGTGCTCCCGGTCTGCCTCTAATACAGAGGCAGACTGGTGCACCGTTAACCCCGCGATCGCGGCGATCTGGGGATAACTTTTTAGTATTTTCCGTCAACGGTCCTTAATTGAAGGACAAGGCTGACGTAAAATTTCCGTCTGGGGTCAGGAAGGGGTTAAGGAACAGTGCACAAATAAAATCACTAATCTCAGCAAACAAATATGGGGATTCACTTCCACTATATGGCCAAATTGTGTTAAGCCTACCAGTACTTCACAGTACCCCAACATCGGTGGGTCCTACACTATTTCCAATGTGGGAGACAAATTAAATAGTGCTTGTGCTAAATAAGCTGAAGTGTATTTTAGTCATCTGTGAAGGGATACTGTGAAGTAGTGGTTGGTTTAACAAAATGTTGCAGCCCATTCAGGGTTAATTCTGTGCAAATAGTATGTCTATTGTCAACAGGTGATGGTTATAATCAACTTCTACCCTTGCAAGCAGCGCTATGTGTCCCCTCCTTTACTTACTTGGGCCCTCACATCCGTTCTTGCCTCCCTCCAGTCTGTAACTTGCATTTTCTTTTTTCTTTTATTTTTTTATTTTGTTTACTCTCACATCTGTGCAACCCTCCTCACGCCTTGTCAATACGCTAAAAAGAAAATGAGAGAAAGCAGGGTTTGAGTAACCCTTTAAACAGCTTTGACGTTTTACAGAAATAAAGAGCTATTGTGGTTCTGTGAAAAATTCAGAAAATTACCATCCTATCTTATTACCTGCATGCAAATCCAATTAACCTCGCACATTCCCAATGACATTCAACTTACTTTTGATTTATTTGCGGATGGTGAGAGCTTATAAAGATAAATTGTCAGTGCCCTGACTTTCTGTCCTCTTGCTTGACAAGATCTAAATATATACTTATAAGCAAACTTTGGTATTTATGAAATATATTATAAATTTACAGTTTGATAGCACATACCTGAGCCGGGTATGTCTAAACGTCCCCTGAACCATCCATGTTCGTGCCACAGTTTTGACCACAACACCACCACCAGTCGAGTGCATCAGTGTCGCTGCATGTGCTGAAACCAATGTAGCGACTGTATCCTAACAAAAAGTTGGCAATGCTGATGTTAAATTTAAGTTTCAATGGTTTCAAGGAAAACTAATGATTTTCAAAACGTAATAAAATATATGGATATAGGCTGGAGCCAACAGCCGACTGAAGCAGACGTGCACTCTCAGAGCTCCGCATCCAAAAGCCTGAAAAAACCGCAAAATAATGATTACAACTTAACAATAATCAACTATACCACAGCACCCCGAGATGGGAAAGAAATCCAGACACCAAGGGGCCGTAAAACCGGTGGGGGCACGAGATATCGGAGCACTTCTCCTCCGACCTGCCAAGGCCGCAGAAACTCCCGCGCAAAACCAAGATGGCGACTCGGCCTCCTCCGGAGAACAGATCCTCGATGAACTAGATGACTTCCCCGGCACAGGGGGCCTACACAGCATATCTTCGGATGAAGACAACGAAGTGCCCTCCACCAAGGGAGACATAAAAGCCCTCCTATGCAATATTCGTTCCCTCTTCGCGGCGGACATAGCGGTCCTGAGGGAGGAGATCCACACCGTAGAGGGGCGAGTCAAGAAGACAGAAGTGGACTCGCAGAGCCTCAGCGCACGGTGCATACAATTAGAGGCTCAAAATACAGAGCTGCAGCGCACTCAGACCTTACTCACCACCCGCTTGGATGCAATGGAGGACCGGCATAGAAGCCGTAACGTAAAGATAAGAGGGGTCCCCGAAACCGTGACCCAGGATGACCTACAGGGATATATTGGACGACTCCTCTCCTCCCTACTCACGCCACAGCAGATGAAGACGGCCCTCACAGACGGGATCTACCGAATCCCAAGGGCCGCCAGAGCCCCAGCAGACACCTCGAGAGATATCATCCTCCAATTTCAAACGCGGACAGGCCAAGCAACCCTCATGGCAGTGGTGAGGGGGAAGGCATCCCACCTCTTTGAGACAGCCAACCTGTCATTTTTTCAAGACCTATCTAGGCCTACCCTGCTGTGGAGGAGCCTCCTCAAACCCCTGACGACCACTCTCCGCCAAACCTCCATCCCATACCGCTGGACATTCCCCAGAAGCTTGATCATCACACATGAGGGCGCAACAACACGGGTCACAGACCCATCGGAAATAGACTCAGTTTTGGCAGCGCTGGGCCTACCACCACGACAGGAACAAGCTACAACCGACCGGAGGCCAAAGGCCCATCACACCTGGGATGTAGCAAACATCAGTCCGTTTCAACCCTCTAACATCAATGTCCCGTCATCCAAGGCTTCCAAGGAGCATCGGGTAAACT